AATCAAAAAGATACTTTTAAAAACAACAATGGAAAAAACAAATACAAAAATTATTTCATTTCATTATCATTTTCATGTGTTGAAATTTAGGGGTTGGTTCGGAACAGCCACCTCCCAATTGAAAGCACCCAATAAATGATGATTTTTATATATATTAAGCTTACTACAAATATTATTGTGGGTTTCAATAGATAATAGAAGGATCTTAATAAACATCTAAGATTCTTAAATATGTTTTTTGGTTGTAGGACAGCAGTTTGCACTAATTCTGTAGAATGGCCCATATAACCAAATTTTGAAAGGTTTCGAAACCAATGTTCTAATCAGTCTGACATAATATCCACCTTATTTTTCAACGCGGAAGTGAGCCGGTTTCTGTAAATGTGTGAGACCTCCGGTTCATTAGCCACTGTAGGGAAATAACAAGAAAAATAACAACGTGCAGTAAACGGTAACGTTTGCACTACAAACCAGTATGTTCATAATTAAGATAATACATTAAAATAATATGTAAAGACACACCAGTTTAAAATATCAAGCCGCAAAACGAGCTGTTTTGTACAACTAAAAAGAACTGGAAACAGATGACACTGGAAGCCAGACACATTAAATTCACAAATGGCCTTGCCCACTCTTATGGAAAAATAAGGTGGATAGCCTCGTTTTCTGAAATCACGTGAAATGGGGAATTTTCACATCATGTGAAACTTTTCGAACCACCAGTGATTCAGTGAAAGATTTCCATGCTTCAGAAAAAGTAGTGTATCACTATATCACTTTAATTCATTTTATGTAATTTAAGGCATTAATGTTTAGTTTTTTTTTCAATCTGGTTAGGTGTTTTTTTAACCGGTAAAGTATTTATTGTTTTATATAAATTTAAAGGACAGCGCCATATTGAAATTGTCTTTTGACCTACGACGTCAGCCCCGTCACATTTAACGATGACTGAGGTCTTGTGGAATAGTAGTAAGGTATACTTCAGAGTCTAGGGGAAGTAGTTCATTCAGGTGTGCTTTGCTTTCTATGCATACTGTTAATTTTTGACGTACCAATTTTCGGACAGTACAGTAGTGGAGAGAAACAGGCGTAGAACGCGGGGATAATGTTAGTTACGGCGCGAAACACCTGTTCATCATGTCACTGCGCAGCTCCCATTCCGAATGGTTATTTTTGTTGCATAGAAATATTTTTATGCCTGGGCCTATATCTGATTCTACTTAATGGATTTGCTTAATAAAACAACAGCAACATAAGTAGAACATGACCATGACATAATGTGAAAGTATAATATGCTAGATTTGAGACAGTCTTACATACTATTTGAGATAAGTGTTGGACACAGACACAGAAAGAGATTCTAACTGTTATTGGTGTGCATCAAGTGATACATTTGATAAATGTTCTGCTGCAGGTCACATTTGTGCATTATTTGTCAGTGTTACAGTCAGATTCTGTGTGTTTCGACTTTTCTGGCTATGTTTATTATGAATCACCCTCCTGAGTTGAATTCATTAGTTCCCCACACACACATATGCTGCCAACAGCTGCATTAGTCACTTTTTCTTCCTCTGAAGAAACACAAACACAACAATTTGCACATTTAACACCACTGATTGCTGAAGTTAAGGGCCACCAATGAACTTTGTGGACAATTTAGTCCTTTGTGTGGGGCGTCGTTATTTTAGTGTTTTATGCAAGCACATTTTGTCCATATCTTTGTGTGTTTTCTGCTTGTGTTTTCGCCTCTTTGTTAATTGGAATGTGTGTCTGTTTATATTTGTGTCGTGACCAAAATTTCTTCTGCAGGAACATGTGTGTGAAGTTCATTTGGTTCAACACGACTCTCCCTTTGAGCCAATCACAGCTGCAGAGCAAAGCACACACAATCATCTGTACCGAAACAATACACACGCCACACTGTAAAAAAATCCAACTTTCGAAAAGCTCTACTAACCAATGTAAAAAAAAAGTAGCCTGAACAAAGAATTTTTAGTAGGAGAACTCACAAAAATACTCTAAACATGTCGCTAGCAAAAGTTGTTTTGTTTACCCAGACACTCAAGTATTTGTTCACAACATATCCACATGTTCTCCCAACTTTTCAAATTGAGTAATCGGAACAAACAATTTTACATTGAACAATATTGCACAAGTACCCAGCATGCATTGCAACTTGTAAACATTTTATGTTAATAAAATATCATTGTTTTAAATTTTACTGGCTTAATTTATGCTGCTGCTGCTGTCATCACTGTCAGTTTGCTGTCTTTTGGATCAGAGTTCATATTTTTACTGATTTAAAATTAGTTGATCCTCACCATGGTTGAAAATTGTGTGCTGAGGTATATGTCCATCTCATTGCAAATTGTTTATCAGCGTAAATTCTTACCTTTGGTTTTAAGAGGCAAATACTTCCCATAAAGTTTAAAAGGCTTTGGAAACAAACATAATTCTAAAAGAAAGAGGATTATTAATAAAAGATTAGCATTGATGAGTGCTAAAAATTATTTGGTTGCTCTGACAGATTTTTTAACACTCAATAGATTGACATTTATTCATTAGATAAACTACAGTTTTTAAGTTGTCGGTTGCTAGTTGAGTTAACTTAAGTTGAGTGCATAGGTTGCCTTATTTTTTTGAGTTAGGTCAACTTTTTTTCTTTTACATTGTATCACCATGGTCCCATTAGTACTGTAGGTTACTTAAGCACCCCTTCATTGACTAAACTAGAAATGTGTCCCTGATTATTCATATTATACTAGATATAATTTAGCTTTATTTTGAATATTATTTAAACATATTTATATTCAAACCAACAGCACATGATATTGTTTCCATTTACATTTATGCATTTAGCACGCACTTTTGACCAAAGTGACTTACAAAGGAGGAACATGTTTTCATGTAACAGTTCAATAAATGGGAAGGTACAGGAAGGACACAAAATGCCCAGTTTCTTTATCAATTTTTGTCCCTGGCCAGCTTTTGCTGTATACATACAGAGTAAAATTCACAAATATATCATTCATGGTCTTCTGATGCTGAAGGCTGGGGATTTGTGTGTCTGTTTGTGATGCAGTTGGCATTTTTGTAATGAAACATCTGCGCTGAATTTTCAATTATTTATCCTGAAACACCTCCAAGAGTGAGGAGTGGAAAAAAAATCTAACTCCTGGTCACTACAGACAGAAACAGCAGTAACTATGTAAAATAGTAAAATACTGTCATGCAGTCCAAGTACTGTTTAAAATAGACCTACCTCTTATAACGTTCAAATCATAAAAACGCTAGACTTCTATGTTGTATACAGTATGACAATTCTCTGTCAAGTTATTTCATATTGTTTGTATAAATGAAAAGTGTCACTTTACAAACAAATCAGAATGTTAGAATGATTTCTGAAGGATGATGTGACACTGAAGACTGGAGTAATGGCTGCTGAAAATTCAGCTTAGCCAAAACAGGATTAAATTACATTTTAAAATATATTCAAATACAAAGAAGTTATTTTGAAATGTAATAATAATTGGAAATACTACTGTTTTTGATCAGGTTTAAAAATTTGACTTACCCCAAACTTTTATTTGGGTTGTAAGTATACGTTTTTCAATGGACAATTCTTAAACTATTACATTTGGTAAAAAAAAAGCTGGCCTTGAATTTATAACCTGGTGTCAAAATCTCATTGCTTTTCCAATCTGACTGCAAAGATCTCAGTAGTTAGGCCTTTTCAAATTTAAACTCCAGCAGTTCATTTGTTTAGTCACAATGATTTGTCAACTGTAAAGATGATTTGAAGTTTGTCTGACCCATAATTTATTATTACAGGGCTAATAGGATACAGGAGACTCCTGAGTCATGTTCAATGGCATGTTCAAAGGTCTTCTAGACAATTTACCATAAGTACAAACAAATATATAAAATAATTTTCTGGTAATCAACTGGAAACAATTAGGTTTAGTCAGAAACCTGGAACACTGATATATGCTATAAATATCATGCTTTTGTAGATTAATGAATGGATTCCAATCAGTCTTCAAACATTTCTTCATGTTTTTCTCCTTTAGCTGTGGTTAAATAGATTTAGTCTGAGAAATGGGTAACATATGGTTTTACATTATATTTTGAACAGCCACAATGTGCTGGGAAAGGATAAAAAGGCAAGGCAATATGATGCATTAGTTTTCTCTCAACAACAATTATCCTCAGTAACTAAACAGTACTTTGTTTAACCTGCTTGAATTTCTTCATTCTTGTCAAATCTGAAGATAGATTTTTCAGCAAATTTTTATTGTATTCTTACATAGGGTTTCGTATTTCTAATATGAATTATACCATGTGTATTTAGTCAAAGTAGTTCACATTTCTTAGGAATTGTGACTAATGAGACCTGTTGAGAAAATTGTTTTAAAAAGTTTTGAAGTATATACCATATGTGTGTGTATAATTATGTATCGTTTGTTGATCTTGGTCAAATTCTTACATCCTGTATTCATTTATTATTTGAATTCATTAACAAAAACAACTACATTTTATGTAGTTTTTTGAAAACCTTGTTATCCTATGATGTGAAATTCAAAATGATTTATTTAATTTAGTTGTAATACATTTGTTTATCATGGAGTTGCTTTATGCTCCATGCTGTTAATGTAAATAATACACAAATAATATAAATATAAACATAATACAAAAATATTTCGTAACACCACAAATGTATGTTTCCTTTCTAATGAGGGTCCCAAATACTGCTTTGTGATATTATTACAGTGACTACTTCATGAAGTTGATCCCGAACACTGAATTGAGGCAGAAGAAAAGATGCAGCTTAAGAAGAAATAAAGTGTGCTGAAATAGTGTAGCGAGAGAGAGACAGAGAGAGAGAGACAGAGATAAGCTAAAGGTTTAACAACTACAGTGTGACATCATAGGGTCCCTCCCTCTTCTTAATAATCCAGTGTAGATGGTCGTATAATCACACACCCATTTCCAAACACACTTTCTCTCACACAGAGTGTGCACTGACACCTGATCTGAGGTCACTTTAAAGGACAAGGAGAAAACATATGATTCAAGAAAGAACAATTGTAGAAGTTTATATAGAAGAGGTTTGAGTGGACTATATGAGCTCTGTATTGTTTTCTCTGAGAAAAAAGGACAACATGCGAGCCTTCCTCCTCCTCTTCCTCAGCGAGATCTTGCTACTGAGACTGACCTCCGCAACCACCATGAAAGGTACCAACACAAAGCAATTCAATCTTAGATTCTAGACGTGTTCTAGGATCATAAATATTCAATCATGAATATTTATAAGCAAATTTGACTGCCTATATATCACTTGACAGTTTTAGCTCTTTCTAGCTGTAGTTCCAATCAATATGCATGCAATTTATGAAATTAATTATATGCAGAAGGAAAATCCTGCATGCAGTATGCCTATTGTAATGCAATACTATTGAAGTCATTAGTCTGGTATGCTGTGGATGCACGGTGCCGGTTAAAGGATGCAAGCTCAGCTGGTGTCAATCTGTATATACAGATAAACATAATATATATCTGTTTTCTTTTTGGGGTAGGGATAGTGCAATAATTTGCTGTAATTGTGATCATTTTGACGAGTGCATTAAAATAATTCATTAATGGTGTTTATGATTACACCGTAAATAATTCGTATTATATCAACAATGAATATTTCGAAAGCCTCGCAGGTCATTAAAATGGATTTCTATTGGATGCCAGTAACGGATTCTGTTGAAATTGCAAAACAAATATTGTGTGTGTTGATGTCTTCATTGGCAGCAAATACAAGGTCACATTAGTAAAGGCAGGTCTGTTTGTGTGTGTTTATTATCTGTTTCCTGTTAAAGCTCGAATCTCTGAAGTGAGATTGTTAGAAATATTTGAGTGAATGAAAGCTGAGTGCATGGGCGTTGGTTGAATGTGGATTAATTTAGTTTACTTTAATGTTGCTTTAGTGTGCAATATAAAAAATGACTTCACACACTGAGTCTGTACTTAATGTGCCTGTGCCTGGATTTGTTTTGGCCTCACCACTCCCCTTCTCCTGTGTCACGTGTAAGGTGCATGTAAGAGCAGACCCTTGTTGTGCAAACTGACATAAATCATATACTGAAAGAAATAAGCATCAACTCCACAACTGCCACTCAGCAATGAGCTCTTCATCCTATGACACTATCTTATTGTAACACACCTCAGCCTTGACTAATTTATCCCAGGCCACCCATCTGTTCGGTCATTGAACATCTCTAAATCCCTAGTTCTCATGGAAACCACTGTTTATCAATTCTTCATTGTCATGTGTTGCACACACTCTCCCAGAGGAAATTTTTTTTTCTCAGAGGTTGCTGCTTCATAGCTCAGGAGAGCAGTTCTCAAATATGTTTAAAGTCTATGTAAATTCAAATTTCACACACTTTAATACACATTCCTGGTCACATAGTGCATGATTAATCAGTTTCGTTAAAGGAAAATTAGTTTGTGTTTTGTAACTTTCAACAAAATGAAATATATTTTGCCACCTCTGAAACAACTTGGATGACTACAAGTAGGCCATTTGGGCTATTCTTTTGTGTTATTTAGGCATTGTTTTGAAGGGGTCATATGATGCTGCTAAAAAGAACATTATTTTGTGTATTTGGTGTAATGAAATGTGTTTTTGCAGTTTAAAGTAAAAAAAACACATAATTTTCCACATACTGTACATTATTGTTTCTCCTCTATGCCCCGCCTTTCTGAAACGCGTCGATTTTTACAAAGCTCATCGGTCTGAAAAGCGAGGTGTGCTCTGATTGGCCAGCTTTAGCGTGAACTGAAGCCAGGCAAGAGTGAGCTGAGGCGGCGGGGTCGAGAACGGCGGTCCCGCGAAGGAGCGGTGTAAACGGTGAAAGCCGATCCGGCGATCCACAGCACTAAGTTGATGTATTTCCTCAGCGACTAGCACGGATCAGCTCCAGGCATGACGAAGCGGATATCGTCCTCTTTTGAAAGACCAAACAAAGTAGTTTTGCTTTCACAACGAAGCACACAGCATCTGCAGGACATGGTGGCAGTGGCAACAATACTACAGCGAGAATAAAAGTTACGCCTTCTTTCTTTGCGTGAACATTTGGGCGGCGTTATGCAAATCTTCCCACATTGTGAGGTAGATATGTGGGGGCGTGTTCGAACGAGCCATTTTAGGGGTGTGAGGACAAAGAACTTCAACTTTGTCCTCCACATCTCAGTTTAAAAGCTTTTTTTCTGATATGGGTGCAGGCAATGGATAAGTCCTTGAGACAATACGATCTTGCATTAAAAATTTTCTCCATTCTAGTGTGGAATGAATTTCACAATATCCTGATTTACTCAGAAATTCACCATATTATGGAAGTAAAATGAGTAGCAAATGCCATTTCATTTAGTGAATTTTATCTCCGATGTTTCTTCTGAAATTCCTTAAATAAAATTTTTTAGTTTAGGGTCAATGATTTTTTTTTTTAAAGAAATCAATCTTTTTATTCAGAAAGGATGCATGAAACTTCACAAAAGTGACAGTAAAGACTTTCAATTTCCATTAGATCATTAAAAAATAAATAAAAAAGCTGAAAATTCTTTTGAAATTCTGTTGATAACAGAATCCTGAGAAATATTTCATGATTTCCACAAAAAATATTAAGCAGAACAACTGTCAACATTGCTAATAAGAAGAAATGTGTCTTGAGCACCAAATCAGCATATTAGAATGATTTCTGAAGGATCATGTGACACTGAAGACTGGAGCAATAGCAGTATTTCAAGTGAAATATATTAAAGGGGTCATATGATGCGATTTCAATTTTTCCTTTCTCTTTGGAGTGTTACAAGCTCTTGGTGCATAAAGAAGATCTGTAAAGTTGCAAAGACTAAAGTCTCAAATCCAAATATTCTTATATAAAAGTTAAGAGTCAACCACGCCCTCCTAAAACGCCTCGTTTAAACACGCCCCCACATAGCTATGTCACGATGTGAGAAGATTTGCATAACGCCACCCAAATGTTCACGCAAATAAAGAAGGAGTAACTTTTATTCTCGCTGTTGCCGCCATGTTGTGGAGTCGCTGTGTGTTTCGTTGTGAAAGCAAAATTACTTTGTTTGGCCTTCCAAAAGAGCACACGACTAGAAATCAGTGGTTAAGCTGTATTTACAACACTGTTCCAGAACAGTT